CCCTGCCACTGCCCTCCCCGGGGATCTCTCACACTCAGCCACCGAGGGAGCCAGGATAGTGGTCCCACCATCTGCAGAACCCCTAAGTACATCCTCGGCAAAGGTCACCTTTTCTTCTGCTGCCATTGGCATCAGCGAGGCTGCAGAGCCAGGAACTTTATCCAATGCTGGTCACATCGTCTCACAGGACCACTCTGTGCCCCTCACTCCACCGCCTCCAGCCCCTTCCCCCCAGCTCCCCGGTGGTGCCAGTGCAGGACAGATGCTTCCCCCTAGCTGCAGCATGACCCCCGGCACCGCAGGAGATGGGTTGCCTGGAGCCAACGCCATCACCCGTCCCCAGGCCACCACGCCAACTCCCAGCACACCAGCCGCAGTGATGGATGTCACCACTGCAGAGCACGTCCCCACTGCATTGTTCCTAGCCCCAGGAAGCGCTGGTGCTGATCTGGCATCCATCAGGAGCGAGCCCAGCACTGGAGCCACAGCAGACACTGCTTTTCTGGAGGCGGAGGCCACCCCAGCAGGGCTCGACATGGACATGTCCCCCGATGCAGCTCGTGACAGCTCTGGTGGTCCCTCTTCAGCCCCCTTTGCACACCTCACAGGGGCTCTGCTTCCCCAAACCCCCTGGACAGGTCCCAGGGCCATCACGGCAGAGGTGGCTGCAGGTGGATCCCCTTCAACTGGACTCGGCGTGGCCACAGCCTTGTCCCTCACAGTCACTGGCGGAGCAATGCCAGGTGGGGCCTCTCCAGGCGCTGCTGCACCAACATCTTCCCTTGGCGGGTATGGCGTCCGAACCGGACCAGCCGTTCATCCATCCTCTCTCATTAGCAACATTCCAATTAATGAAGTCGAGTTAGTGAAGCAGAGATGGGAACAGCATCAGCAGCCAGTGGTGATGCCACCACAATGCTGTGGGACACTGGTGACACCCCGGCTGCACCTAAAGCATCTCCTGGCCGCAACCAGCCTGGTCCCACTGCAGGCTTAGCACCCCCGGCAACTGGTGTCACTCCTGGAGCTGCAACAGCCCCACTGCTCTGGGCTGAGCCTCAACGTGGGGCAGCTCTGGGGACAGAGACGTGGTTGCCAAGTGCTGCACCAGGCACAGGCACAGCTCTGCCAGGCACCCCCGGGGTACCCAGAGCAGCCAGTGTCTCTGTGGCATCACGAGCAGGCGTCCCTGCTCTCCTGGAAGGCAGTGACCCTGCAGGAATGGCTCAGGGGGTGTCCCGATCCAGCATCAACCCAGAGATAGCAGCAGGCATGTCCCCACTGTCCCCAGCCACCTCACCGCCATCAATGGGTGGTGCTTCAGGTGGCTCTCACCCTGACAGCAGCACTGCAGGGAAAGCAGTGGGCACGGTGTCCCTGGAGGTGGGCACGGAGGACCCAAGTGCCAGTGCAGCCAGGGCAGCTCCCAGCCGCATAATCATCACTGCTGGGCCGTCACCAGAGACTCCTGCCCAAGGGACCCATGCTCCTGAAACCAGACCTCCTGTGGATCTGCCTCTCCCGGTTCCCAGGGGTGGTCACTCAGCCCCATCGGTCATGGCTAACCCCAGCCC